ATCAGTGAAGTGGGGAGTGGTGAAGAGAAAGCACAATGGATGAAAATTTTGAAATTCCTAAAAGAAAATTTAGGAGTTTGGTTTGAAAAGAATTAAAAACATCAAACAAAACCTAAAGAAAAATATTATATTGACAAATACGTCTGAATTTGGGTGTGTGCGGTGGTAGACCTTGTATGCACCAGGCTAGGACTCTACCAGTAAGGTACACCCCCAAACCACTGCATCATAATTTTATATATATATATATATATATACACATACATACATACATACACACACATATATATTTTATATATATAATTTTTCATATATATATATACATATATATAATTCTAATTAATTATACATGACAGTAGAATGCATTTTGATATACATAAATGGAGTATAACTTCTCATTCTTCTGGTTGTATATGCATATAGGGTAATAATGTCCAATTCATTCCATTATCATTCATACCCTCATACCCCCTTCCCTTCTTTCACTCATCTCTGTCTAGACCACATTACCTCTATTCCCCCTCACCCCTTATTGTGAATTAGCATCCACATATCAGAGAAAACATTGGTCTTTGGTCGTTTGGGATTGGTTTATTTTGCTTAGAATAATATTCTTCAGTTCCATCCATATACCAGCAAATGCTATAATTTCATTCTTCTTTGAGTCCATTTACCAGCAAATGCTATAATTTCATTCTTCTTAAGGATGAGTAATATTCTGTTGTGTATATATACCAACCACAGTTGTTTTATTCACTCATCTGTTGAAGGGCATCTAGGTTGGTTCCAGAGTTTGACTATTGTGAATTGAGCTGCTATAAACATTAATGTGGCTTCCTCACTGTGGTATGCTGATTTTAAGCACTTTGGGTAAAATTAAAATGCCTAGAAAAAAATTGGAAATTTTTCATGACATTGTATTTGGCAATGATCTTTTTTTATATGACACCAAAACACAAGCTACAAAAGCAAAAAGAGACAAATGAAACTACCTCAAACTTTAAAGCCTCTGTACATCAAAGGAAGTAATCAACAGAGTGAAAAGGCAGCCCATGGAATGGGAGAAAATTTTGCAAATCATATATTTGATTAGAGGTTAATATCCAGAAAGTATAAGTAATTTCTACAACTCTACAACAACAAAAACAAATAACCTGATTTAACAATGGACAAAGAAATTAAATAGATAATTCTTCAAAGAAGATGACCCACAAGCATCTGAAAAGATGTTCAACCTCACTCATCATAGGAGAAATGCAAATCTAAACTACAATGAGCTTCAAATGGTGGTACACACCTGTAATCCCACTTATATTGAAAACTTTTGGACCAGCATCATGGGCTTGGGGATATAACTCAGTGGTAAAGTACTTGCCTAGGATGCACAAAACCCTGGTTCAATTCACAGTACCACCAAAAAAAAAAAAAAAAATAGGGCTGGGGTTGTGGTTTAGTGGTAGAACACTTGGAGGCGTTGGGTTTGATCCTCAGCACCACATAAAAATAAATAAAATATAGGTATTGTGTCCATTTACAACTAAAAAAAATTAAAAACAGTGTCTTGAAATTAAAAGTGCATACTAGACTGAATAATTAGGAAACTCAATCCTAAGTCTATGGCTTCCACAAATATAAAATGATTTTAGCAGTCACATTATCTCACTGTTGTTCACTTTCCTCATCTACAAAATAAAAGGTTTAAACTAGATTATCTCTATGGTCTCTTCCAATTCTATCTTCTATACATCTCAGTAGGCCAGAAACTTGAAAACATAGGAGACCTAGATCAAATCTCTAAGAGATAATTAAGAAATGTAATTAGATTACTTAGGAAAAAATAATCATTTGCCATGGATACCACATAAATTAATTTTTTTTTTTTGCACCAGGAACTGAACCCAGCAGCACTTTACCACTGAGCCATATCCACAGTCCTTTTTATTTATTTATTTTATTTTAAGACAGGGCCTCTCTAAGGTGCTTAGGGCCTCCCTAAATTACTGAAGCTGGCCTGGAACTTGTGATTCTCCTGCCTCAGCCTGCCAAGCTGCTGAAATTAGAGGCATGTGCCACCATGCCCAGCTTTGAGTCCCTTTCTTTAAAAGCTAGAATGAAGTTGACATCAAAACTACCTTTCTCCGCTGGGGACAGTGGTGCATAACTGAGGCAGGGTTGTTAATTCCCGGCCTGTCTAGTTACCCTCAGTAAGACCCAGTCTAAAAGTAAAATTTTAAAAAGGGTTGAGGATGTAGCTCAAAGGCAGAATGCTCCTGGGTTCAATCCCCAATAAAACACACACACACACTACAATGAAATTTCACCTCACACGCATTAGAATGGCCACTATCAAAAGAATAAAAAAGTCAGATCCATACCTGTAATCTCAGCTACTCAGGAGACTGAGGCAGGAGGATCACAAATTTGAGGCCAGCCTGAGCAACTTAGGGAGACTCTGTCTCAAAAGAAAATGGAAAGAAGGAAAGAAGGAAGGAAGGAAGGAAGGCAGGAAGGCAGGCAGGCAGGCAGGCAGGCAGGCACACACGCACACAGGGATGTAGCTCAGGGGTAGTGTTCACCTAGCATGTGAAGGCCCTGAGTTTAATATCCAATACCTAAGAAAAGAAAGAAAAAGTGTTGGTGAGGATGTGGAGGAAACTAGAGTCCTTATGCACTATTGATGAGAATGTAAACTGATGCAGCCATTATGGAAAACAGTAGGGAATTTCCTCAAAAAATTAAAAATTGAGCCAGGCCCAATTGTACACTCCTCTAATCTTAGCTACTCAGGAGGCTGAGGCAGGAGGATCCCAAGTTTGAAGCCAGCCTTGGCAACTTAGCATAAACCTGTCTCAAATTTTTATAAGGCTTGGATGTAGCTCTGTAATAGAGCATCCCTTGGTTCAATCCCTAGCACCTCCCCCCCAAAAAATATTAAAAACTGAATTAACACAGGGTTCAATTCTCAGTACCAAAAAATAAAAAAATAAAAAAGTATTGGGAAGTGGGTAGGGATGGAGATATAAGCTCGGTGGTGAGGCACCTTCCTAGCATGCTTGAGGCCCCAGGTTTGATCCCCAGTATATTATGTGATAGAGCAATCCCATTTCTGGGTATATACCCAAAAGTATTCAAAGCAGGATCTTAGGCTGGGGAGATGGGTCAGTAGTATCAGTAGTAGAGCACTTGTCTAACATGCACAAGGCTCTAGGGTCCATCCCAGCACTGCAAACACCAAGAATAGCTGATAGATTTAATATTATTTACCACAATAAAGAGATAAAATTGATTATCGAATAAAATATACCATAAACCCAAAAGCGTAGATACAATTAAGATAATAAAATATATGTCAATATACTCACCACATAGCTTCAAAACTTCATTTGCTTTTCCTTTTAGAGTTTTATCAGTAATATTTTTATCTATAGATAATGTATTTTTCCCTAATATTGAGCTTTATATAAATGGAATTTTTCAGTACCACAAAGAAAAAAAAAACAGGTGATTTAAGGTGTGGGGAAAGGTGACTGGAGGTGAAGTTTTCAGTGGTCTGTGCATGCATAATCAGTCTTCATGACTGACATGTTCAGAAAATGGCAGTTAGAAAAATCTCATTACTGACTCTCCATGGGTTTTTTTGTTTATTTTTGTCTTTGTCTTTTGGTATGGAAATTAACCCAGGGACACCTACCACTGAGCTACATCCCCAGCCATTTTAATTTTTTTTTTTTTTTTAAAGACAGGATCTCAGTAAGTTGCCCAGGCTGGCTTCAAATTTAAGACCCTCTTGCCTCAGCCTTCCAGGTTGCTGGTATTACAGGTGTGCACCACAGCACCCAGAAAATTCCATGCCTTCTTGTGCTATCAGAAGATTCAGATAAAAACACATTGGCACAGGAACAAGACTTTTTACTCTTATGCTCAAACACCAGGGAAGCAGAACATGGGGTTCAGAAATCCCAGGCTAACTTAAAGGACAAAGGTTGTACAACTAATATGGCATCTACATAACAGGCAGGTACCCAATCTCTTGATGTCATGACATGTAGAAATGGAGTTTAGTTGCATGTTCACTCTTCTTCATCATGTCTCTTCATAGGACTCATGACTTATTACCATCTCAGGTCTCTAAATAAGGTGTGATTTTTATTATGCTAATAAAGTTAACTATAGTTTACTTTAGAATCACTAAAAATTGTGATTCTAAATCTAAATTTGGATTTAAAATTTAAAATTGTGTTTGCACCTCACTACCTGGAACTTGTCCCTTATCATCTGAGACAGTCCCTATTTTATTTTATTTATTTTCGGAACAGGGCATACTATTATTCTTTCTCAATAGGTTTGATTTTAGTGACCTTGTCTTTCCTGGCTCTGGCTTCTTGGTATCTCTGTTGACCACATAGACTTTGAAGGCTAAACTGACTTTCCAACATCTTGTTTCCAGATATATCTTAATTTCATGTCTTTAAAGGCTGATCTATTTTTTAACTCTCAATTTTCTGGTATGTCTGTTAACTATTAAGAATGAGGGCTAGTTTAGCCATCTCAATCTGAGGGTGGAGTTTTCAGATTTCTGATGTCAAAAGGTCACCCATCAGACATCTATGCAGGCCAAGAGTCAATGGGTTTAACAAAAATGGCCTTCAAGTTCCTGAAAAGTAACCCAGGCAAATGTAACCATCATAACCTACATGTCAGAGGTGTTACTTATAGTAACCTCCAGTGATTTTTAAAGTCAACCAGAAGCAAGTGATAAAGGATTTATTCAAGTTTTCCCTCAATATCATTGCTCCAGGGGAAAAGGGAAAAGGAACTTTCATTTTGTCTGTACTGTTTTGTTTTGTTTTGTTTTTTATAAAAGCACCCCCGCCACCCCCAGCCCCGCTGTCCCCACTACCACCCGCCCAATAAGCAACAGCAGACTACCTACACCGGCCTTTTAGTATACCGGAACCTTACGTGCAGGGTTCCGGCGTAGCACGCATCGGGAAGTGTTTGGGCGCTGCACCTCCGTGCGCCTTGCCCTTCAGCCCCGTACACTGAGGAGACCGTTCGCCGCTTAGGCCCTGAAAGTGGTCGTGGTGGTTTTCCTTATAGTTGGAGGTCCAAGGCCAGGCCTCAGGTAGAAACGGCATCACCATGATGGACGGAAGGCCGGGCCGAGTGCCCCTACAGTTCCTGCCAGATGAGGCTCGGCGCCTGCCTCCGCCCAAATTGACCGACTCGCGGCTTCTCTACTTCGGCTTCCTGGGCTACTGCTCTGGCCTGCTAGACAACGCGCTCCGGCGGCGGCCGGTGATGTCGGCGGGTGAGGGCTGCACGGGGCGGGGTCTCCTAGGAGAGGGGTTTGCAGGCCTGTGGGTCGGCTTCGCCATAGGCCTGCGCGCGGTGCATTGTTTTTCTGGGCCTTTATGTTTTTCTGGTCTTCCTCGTTTCCCTGGGCTGTCTGTCAGGTTAGCTCTGCGGAATCGGGCACAGCCAGACTGTCATTTTTCACTTGAAGGAACTGACAGTGCGATGACACAGGGACTTATCCGTGACCTTACAATGAGTCTGTGAAGGACCTGCAACTGTTCCTCTAAGTTCCTGCTGTGCTTTGTGTAAAAATGAGTGTTCACTCCATGCCATACATTACTGACACTCCGTGGACGTTATAGCATTTAGATCTTTGAAAACTTTATGGGGAGGCATTCTCCTCAAACAAGAAAACAGCTTCATAGAGATTAAAGCAGTTTTCCCAAGGTCAGTGGCTAGTAAGCAGCATAGGCCTGTTTTTAGACCCCGGAGTGTCTTGAAACCAGTGCTTCTCAGTCTTAGTGACCATAAGAATAATCTAGAGATCTTGATAAATTCGGACTCTGATTGATAAGTTCAGGGGACAGGCCTGATGTTGTTTGCAAGCTCCTGGGTAACAGTTACATCTGCTAGTTTGGGAACCCACACTTTGAAAGTCTCAGTGACCAGCAGGCTGAATTTTCTAGTAGAACATTACTGGCCTTGTGTCAGAGACTATTTTGACAATAGCTGACACAGTAGCTGTGCTAAGAACTATGGATTTCCAAAGGGAAAAGAGGAGAGAAACAACTTTGGAAGAGATGCCTTTGAACTTACCTTTGATTATCAGGTGAACTCAGAAAACATAGGTAAAATGCCTGATACACAGAAGGAGCTGGGTGAAGTTCCCTTTCCTGAGCTTTTGTTATGCAAACAGTTTACCATATATTTATTCAACATTGAACTTTTGTCCGTCTGGCATTGGATACATGGGGTAAGGAATCCTGTCCCTGCTCTTAAGCTCCTAGTCAAGTCAGGGAAACAAACAATAGTCCATTACTGGTTTCAGTGTGATAGACACTTGTGTTCTGATAGAGGTGGGTGAACAGGGAGTTCTTTTCGAGCACAAGGAGATACAGATAGATGGACTGTTCCAGAGGAAGTAAAGGTGGCAGAATTATGAATTATTATTATAATCTCACTTTATTGTCTATTTAACTGTTCTGGGAAATAGAAGAACATATTAGTTAAGAGCATAAACTTTGGGACTTTTCAGCATCTTCACCCTACTAGCCATTTAATTCTAAGGAAGTTTTCTAACTCTGAGAACTAGATAACATTTATAAAGTACTTAACACAGGAGTGGGAGTCAGTTCCTGAGTTCCCCTGAATTTTCCAAAATTGCTTTGGAAAATTTAGTAAGTATGGAAGACTATTGAAATTGTCATCCTCAGCAGCATTTGTTAATGCATATTGTATTTTGTCTAGCTTAGTGCCTAGCATATAGCAGACTAAAATATGGTACAAATACTTATTGAGCCAGGCACAGTGGTGTACACCTATAATCCCAGTGAGTTAGGAGGCTGAGGCAGGAGGATCTCAAATTTAAAGCAAGCCATAGCAATTTGGCAAGGCCCTAATTAACTTAGCAAGACCTGTCTCAAAATAAAAAAGGGCTATGGATGTGGCTCAGTGGTTGAGTGCCCCTGGATTCAATCCCCCTACCAAAAAAAAAATAGGGGAGAGGGTAACTTACTGAACATATAAGTAACATGGTAACAATTATCCAAATATTTATAGACCAGATGGTCATATCTGTTAAAAAACAAATTGTGACTGGAAATGGTGCATACCTGTAATCCCAGCAATTTGGGAGGCTGAAGCAAGCAGGAGGATTTTAAATTCACAGCCAGCTTCAGCAACTTAACAAGACCCTGTTTCAAAAATAAAATAAAAAGGGCTTGGGGTGTTATTCACTGGTAGAGCACCCCGGGTTCATTTCCCAGTAACACCAAAAAAGAAAAAAAATGTACGAATTTATTCATTTAGGGAAACAGGTATGACACGTAAATGATGTTTCTAAGAGGGTTGGAAAAAGGGGAAAGGAATAGATGGTAGATTTTCAAACTAGAGTCTTAGCATTCTGTGGATAATAATGGAATATTCTATCAATGAAATAAAAATTTGCAGATCTTTTTAAATTTTTTTATTTTTTGGTATCGAGGATTGAACTCAGCGGTACTCAATCACAGAATCACATCCCCAGCCCTATTTTGTATTTTAGAGACAGGGTCTCACTGAATTGCTTAGCACCTTGCTTTTGCTGAGGCTGGCTTTGAACTCGCAATCTTCCTTCCTCAGCCTCCCGAGCTGCTGGGATTACAGGCCTGTGCCACCATGCTTGGCTAAATATTTTTATTTTTGTAGATCTGTTTTTCAATAAGCAGACATTATCAAATAGAATTTTTCTTAAGCTTTTCTCACAACTCTTTTTTTTTTTTTTTTTGGTACCTGGATTGAACCTGGGGGCATTTAACCACTGAGCCATATCTCCATCCCTTTCATATATTTTATTTTGAAACAGGGTCTCACTGAGTTGCTGAGGCTGCCTTTGAACTCATGATGTTCGTGCCAGCCTCCTAACTGCTGGAATTACAGGCATGTGCCACAGCACCTGGCTCTTTTCTTTCCTTTCCTTTTCTTTTTTCTTTTTTTTTAAATATTTTTATAGTTGTCAATGGATGTTTATTTTATTTATTGATATATGGTGCTGAGAATCGAACCCAGTGCCTCATACATGCTAGGCAGGTGCTGTACCACTGAGCCACAATCCTAGCCCTCTTTCCTTTTCTTTACTGGAGCTTGAACCCAGGACCTCCATGCTTTCTAGATAAGCACTCTACCACTGAGTTACATCCTTAGCCCTTTTTGTTTTAAGACATTGTTTCACCAAATTGCTGAGGCTGGCCTTGAACTTGCAGTCCTCTTACTTCATTATTTAGAGTTGCTGGCATTATAGGTATGTACCACTACACCCAGCCTTCCACACTCACTTTTAAAACTCTTGTTGCTGTTTATCACTTACCTTCCCTAAGTTTAGTTATTTGGTAATCTAAGTGTAGTCTATCTAATTGAATATTTATTATTTCAAGTTCAATGTATCAGTAATTTATGGTATTATGCAAAGAATACAGTGATTTATAGGTTTAGATTCACTGGGTGTAGGAAAGAAGGGGAAAGTGTTTGTGAAGGGATTATGTATGTAATGAAAGGAAGACCATCCCTAAGAGAGAAAGATTAGGGAAATAGGGATTTGGAGAAAGGGCAAGCCATACTTTTGTAACAGGGACACTGACAGCATCATCTAAAATATATGAAGTCTTTCTCTGAGGAGTATGGATCAGTGTAGATAGGATCTAGATCTTTGTCTTATCCATTGGCACATGAAAGAACCTGGCACACTTTGGTTTACCATACGGCAGGTAGCCAGTTAGGGGAAGCAGTGGCTGTTTGAGTCAGGGAGGAATACAAAAGAGCCTGGGCTCTGTCCATTCCCAGGTTGTAGGAATATTTTCCAATTGTATTGCTTCCCACATTTTCCAAAGTACTTGTATATGTATTTTGTCTTAGTGTATATATTACTAGTAGTGGGTAAGATGGAATGGTACCATGCATCCCAAACATGGCAGACTCCCTGCCTCCCTGTGTGGTGGACTGTGGCATTGAGGTCTTGCACTTCCTAGCTATACCAAGCTTGGCTTTACAGGTAACACTGAGCCATAGTTCATTATTCTGTCATGTGTTGCCATCAGAGTCTGCAAAAGTAGTCAACCCAAACCAAAGGATAGTGGTTGAGGGATGTTGGTGACCTTGACTTTTTCATAGGGGATAAAGCCATTAGTAATCCTACCTGTACTCTAAAGTGGCCAATATGACATGGAATCATTGAGGACTGGGCTCTTATGGAAAGATTCATGGAACAAGTGGTTTTTAAATACCTTTGAGTAAAATACCTTGAGTAAAAAATAAGGACCATTATTTTTAATGGCAGACCTCCAGTGAATATACCAGAAAATAGGAAGTATCTTGCAGAAATTATGTTTGAATCATTTAATGTATCAGGAGTCTATCTACACTTTTGTATTTTTTCTTTTTCTCAGGCTTTGAGATGTAGTGTTAGATCATTTATTTGTTGACTATTTATTCTTTTAATGAATGCACTCGATCAATAAACTTTCCTCTTACTACTGCCTTCATAGTGTCCCAGAGATTTTGATATGTTGTATCAGTGTTCTCATTTACTTCTAAGAATTTTTTTATTTCATCCTTGATTTCTTCTACTATCCATTCATCATTCAATTGTGTATTATTTAGTCTCCATTTGTTAACAGTAGCTTCTATTTTTTATTTTATCGTGATTTCTAATTTCATTCCATTGTGGTCTGATGGAATGCAGTGTATTATCTCTGCTTTTTTGTATTTACTAAGAGTAGGAAAGATAGTAGAATGAAACAGACATTATTGCTGTATGTGTATATGTGACTGCATGACCAATATGATTCTGCAACATATACACTCAGAAAAATGAGAAATTATATCCCATCTATTTATGATATATCAAAGTGCATAAATGTGTTCTGTAAATGTGTCATGTATAACTAATTAAAACAAAATTTTTTAAAGAGTCTATCTACATTGCAACTCAGGCATTGCTGCCTTTAGCAGCCTCTTGGATATATTGACAAGTTGGTGAGCATACACTGATGGGCATAGTTATTGACAGTGGACATGGAATCACCTGTGGCAGAAGATTATATAATTGGAAGCTGCCATCAAAACATCTTTTTTAGTTATGCATGGACACGATATCTTTATTTGTTTATTTATCATGTGGTGCTGGGGATCAAACCCAGTACCTCACATGTGCAAGACAAGCACTCTGCCACTGAACCACAACCTCAGCCCTCAAACACATCTTGATTGCAGGTAGATATAGTATGTATTTTCATTCAACAGCTGCTAAAGGAACAGGAGGTAGGAATCCCTCCTGAGCAGTCATTGGGAACTGCAGCAACCTTTAAGGAAAAATACAGTTACATTTGTCCTGAATTAGCTAAGTATAACATGGATCCCTGGAAGTGGATAATATTGTTCATGGGTATCTGCAATCAACCAGAAGAAATTCATTATAGATGTTTGTTCTAAAAGGTTCTTGGGTCATGAAATAATATTTCACCCTGAGTTTGCCAACCCTGATCTCATGGAATTCATCTTGGATGTTGTTGATAAAGTAATACAGAACTGCCCCATCAGTGTGTGTCATCTGCCTTCTTTTAGTCATTTTTCAGGGATTGACAGGCTTGACAATGTTCAGGGAATTTGGACATCAACTGCAGAAAGATTTAAAAAGAGTGTTGGTTGTCAGATTAGCTCTTCACTACAGCTCAGTGGCAACAGAATAAAACCTAAGCCTGGGCTGGGGATGTGGCTCAAGCGGTAGCACGCTCGCCTGGCATGTGTGCAACCCGGGTTCGATCCTCAGCACCACATACCAACAAAGATGTTGTGTCCACCGAGAACTAAAAAATAAAATATTAAAAATTCTCTCTCTTTCTCTCTCCTCTCTCACTCTCTCTTTAAAAGAAAAAAAACTAAGCCTGTGTATGTTCAGGTGGTAATATGTCATCACATGCAGCACTATGCCGGGTAGTTTGAAGGCTTGATGCTGGCCTCAACTCCAGAGTTCTTTCAGGGCCATCACCCTAAGAAGGACTTGAAGAATACACCTATATCATCTGCTGCCACAATGCTGTCTTTGGAGTCATGTTTTAGTGTTTGCCTTAAAGTCTATCATCCTTGAAGTTCATAGAAAAACAGAACAGCAAACTTTTTTGCCATGTTTGCTAGAAAATGATTATATTTTATCAGGGTGACATTAAGTCTGAACATTAAACATTATTGTGTGAGAATTATGGATACTGTATGTGTTAGTTTTTTTGTTTGAAATTTCTGGAACTGTTTTATAGAAGATGATCATTTGAGGTTGGTGAGTATTGGATGAAATGCTATCTTGATCCATTATAATAAAAGCTGTTAGAATCTATAATATTTTTCCAAAGGTGTAGTATAGCTGTTTAGTGACCCATGATATTTATACTCATGTTCAAATATAAATATTTATATTCAAATATAAATTGGGATATACAGACTAACCAGATCACTTATTGCTTTTATACCATATGTAGACTTTACCTCTGACTTAATCATATTCTGAACAAGCAGTAGAATATAAGTTTATATAGGTCTAAAGTTAACTTTATAGAAAACAAAGTGTTGTTGGTTTTTTTTTTTTCCTTTGTTAATTCAGGATTTGGCACTTATCTACCTTCTTCCATTGAGTATTTTATAAAACATGAAATTTTAAAATTGTAGGTTATGTTTGCAGATTTATTGTTGTTTTTCATAATCACTAGATTTCTTTAAGAATATGGCAGATGGCTCAAGGTCACTTTCAGTTGAGGTTCTTTCGCAATAGCCATATAGAAAAGGATTGTTTTCCTTTATTTTTTGTAGTATGAATTGAATGTGTTCTACTGTCATGTATAACAAATTAGAATAAATAAATAAATAAAGCACCCAAAAAAAGAATGATAGAAGAAATACCATAGCTATAAATTAGATATCTAAAAGTGTTAAAATGTAATTCTTTATGCATAATGACTGATTTGCTTGTTTTGGGATTTGTCATTTGAATTTCAGGTTTGCATCGTCAGCTTCTCTATGTTACTTCCTTTGTTTTTGTTGGCTATTATCTTTTAAAACGGCAAGACTATATGTATGCTGTGAGGGACCATGACATGTTTGCATATATAAAGTCACATCCAGAAGATTTTCCTGAAAAAGGTATTTCAAATTAATTGTAGAAAACCTTGTTCCTTACTCTGTTATATTCCCTGATTAATCCTATCTATGCTAGAGGCTTCATGTGTGAAGCCTTCTGTGTTCTATGACTCCTACATCTTTGTCTAGATCAAAATCTTTGTTGAAGGAGTACAGAGAGATATAGGGGATTGAACCCAGGAGCACTTTTCCACTGAGTTATATCCCTAGCCCTTTTACTTTTTTATTTTGAGACAGAGTCTTGTTAAGTTTAAGTTGCCCAGGCTGGGCTCCAACTTGTAATTCTCCTGCCTCAGCCTCCGAAGTAACTGGGATTACAGGTTTGTGCCGCTGTGCCCAGCAAACACGAAGTTTTTAAATTCATGTATCAAGTTTTTGACTGAGGACTTCTGTGTCCCTTGAATAGCAAACAAAATTCATGTCCCCTCTGCCTTCTCAAACCTTCTGCTGAGCTTCGAACTCTTCCTCTCCCACTGCCACTGCCTTGGTTCAGGCCTACCTAGATAATATCTTGTTTGGACTGTGACACCTCTAGCTCACCTCTGCCTTCAGTCTTGCTTCTGCTAACAGCAAATCTGGTCATATTTCTATATATTGCCTCTAGGATAAAATCCAAACTCCCTAGGATGGTTCATCTCCGCTGGCAGAGTCAATTGCTTGTCTGCTGGTAGAAACGCTTTGCCCGTTGGTCTTTCTATCTTCCACATTATGTCTGTATTACTCCCTGGAATGTAGTTTAATCTTTGTTTTCCCAGCCTCTAGCACAGAACTTACTACACATAGCAGCACTTATAAAATTAACAGCTGACCTAAACCTGCAGGGAATCCTGCTTTAGCTCCTATCACTCACCTTTCATAAAATGCTGCCAGGGGCTGTGGCTCAAGCGATAGCATGCTCGCCTAGCATGCACACGGCGCTGGGCTCAATCCTCAGCACCACATATAAATAAAGATGTTGTGTCCGCCGAAAACTAAAAAATAAATATTAAAAAATTCTCTCTCTCTCTCTCTCTCTCTCTCTCTCTCTCTTAAAAAAATGAGGGGGGGGAGGTCATGGCATGACCTTGAAGGAGATTATGGGATGCTGACCCTTTCCTTCCTCTCTCTTAAAAAAAATAAAATAAAATGCTGCCAGGAGGGTCCTGGTTGGAGGAAGGAATAAATAGGGAAGGCACAGATCAGGTACTGGAGGCCATCAGCAGATGTAGTCAAACTCACCATGTCCCCACTTGTCAATGGAAGAAGCTCAGGAAATGCTTGTCCTGAACCTACGCTGTATCACTTGGACATGTGCTTTCTTATAACATTCTTCCTTTGGCCCCTATTTCCATCTTGTCCATGAAACAGGTTCCTGCTCAAGGTTTATCATCTGAGTGAAGCCTTCACCCAGCTATAGACAGTAATTTTCTCAGCACACTGTTGCTGTTAATTGTGAATATCATTGTAATATGACTTTTATTACCCACATTTGGCACACTTACACACAATACTGATGAGTGTATGTGTGTGCTATTTGTAGATTGGAAATTTAACTTACTAGGGCAATTTTTATCTTCCCAAGGACTAAAGATCCTTTTTTTTAATATTTATTTTTTAGCAATATCTTTATTTTATTTATGTGGTGCTGAGGATCGAACCCAGGACTCCACACGTGCTAGGCGAGCACTCTACTGCTGAGCCACAACTCCAGCCCCCTAAAGATCCTTTCTAAACATGTGAATGAATGTTGAAAAATTTTGAACGTTTTAAATATATAATAGATTTTTATATACTTTCCTATGCATGTAAATGTATGATATAAAGCATTTAAATTTCATTAGGCTGAGTTGCGGATATAGCTGAGTTGGTAGAGTGCTTGCCTTGCATGCACAAGGCCCTGGGTTCAATCCCCAGCACCATCAAAAAAAAAAAAAAAAATTGTTAGGCTGACTGATCCCAAAGGTCCTGTTCAACTCTAAAACTTTATTAGTATTATAATACAATATTCCCAGGGCCTTGAGTCACCTATGTGATATTTATGGTGTCTAAAAAAGACATTTTTTTTTTTTTTTTTTGCCAGTGAAGAGTTTAAATACTAGTACAATCAGTCCCAGTGGTACACACTTATAATCCCTTGGGAGGCTAAGGCAGAAGGATCCCAAGTTCAAGGCCAGCCTGAGCAACTTAGCAATACTTTGTCTCAACATAAAAAATAAAAAGGCTGGGCTGGGGATGTGGCTCAAGTGCTCGCTTGGCATGCGTGAGGCACTGGGTTCATTTCTCAGCACCACATAAAAATAAAATAAAGACATTAAAAAAAAAAAGGCTGGGGAGATATGGCTCAGGGGTAGAGTGCCCCTGGGTTAAACCCATTAAAAAATAAAGTACCATTAAAAATCAAAGGTATATTGGGGCTGGGGATGTGGCTCAAGCAGTAGCACACTCGCCTGGCATGCGTGCGGCCTGGGTTCAATCCTCAGCACCACATACAAACAAAGATGTTGTGCCCGCCGAAAACTAAATAATAAATATTTAAAAATTCTCTCTCTATCTCTCTCTCTCAAAAAAAAAAATATATATATATGAATAAAATTACAGGTATAAAGCCATAAATCAGGTGTGGGGAAACATTGGATGTTAGAGCTGAAGAAATCTTGGCTAATTCTAATTCCTAGAAGTGAGTCCCACTAGCTAGGCAATCTTCAGCCCTGAGCCTTCTGAATCTTTGCCTAGATATTTCCACTAGCTCCTTCTGTCAGCAGGTGTATATATAGCCACATCATTCTGTCTTCTAGTGGATTACCAGCAGGTGTGTCAAGAGCATCCTGCACTGACTACAGGAGCATGAAGGGTTTCAATACATTAGTTGAAACTGGCCTCTCCTAGCTGAACTGTAACCTTCCTGTTTATTTCTTCCTTCATCCCTTTAGTCAGGATATTCCTAGGAGTAACTTGCCCCTCCTGGTAGCCATCTAGATGTCACCACAGATTTAAGAAATAAAATATTTCAGTGATTTCCAAGCCATTGTGGTACTAGAGACTGAACCCAGGACCTAGCACATGCTAGGCAAGTGCTCTATCACTGAGCTACATCCCTAACCCTCCACCATCACCACCTTTTTATTTTGACATAGAATCTCACTGAGTTGCTCAGTATGGCCTCCAACTTGTGATCCTTTTGCTTCCGCTTCTCAGTAGCTGGGATTATGGACATGTGCACAGCATGCCTAGCTAAGAAATAAAACTTTAAAAAACATAATTGTAAGATAATTTTTTTAATCTTTTTTTTTTATAGATAAGAAAACTTATGGTGAAATTCTTGAAGAATTCCATCCAGTGCGTTGAAGTCTTCAAAATATTTGCTCCCATTTACTAAGATGTTTCTAAATTTTATGGAACATATTTCCTCCACGACAGCCGAAGTTTATGTTAATCTGTATAACACCTATAATTAAAGTAGTTATCATGATCAAGTACTGTGACTCTTCTTTTTTCATTTTAAGAAGAAATAGGGCTGGAGTTGTGGCTCAGTGGTAGTGTGCTCACCTAGCAAGCACAAGGCCCTGGGTTCGATCCTCAGCCACATAAAAACAAACAGATAAAGGTATTGTGTCCAACTACAACTAAAAAATAAATATTTAAAAAGAAAAGAAAAAAATAGTTCACTTTCCATTGACCCAGTTTTTGGAAGATTTTTAAATGGAGTTTAAGGGCTGAGGATGTGGCTTAGTGGTAGAGTGCTTACATAACATTTGTGAGGTCCTGGGTTGAATCCCAATACCACAAAATAATAAATTTAGTTCCAAATCAGAACTAAACTCCATTTATTCTGATCAGATTTGGAAAACTTCAGCCCATGGACCAACTCTGGCCCACTGTCAATAAAGTTTTATTAAAACACAGCCACTTTCATTTGTTTATATGGCTGCTTTCATACTACAACAGCAGGGTCAAGTAGTTATGACAGAGTTTATAGCATGCAAGGCCTAAAATAGTTAATATCTGGCCCTTTTCAGAAAAGAATTGCCAGCTTCTGTTCTAATGTAAAATAAGCCAGATTATAAAGGGTTTTGTGAATCGTAGATCATTTTAACTTGATTCCTTAAGTATGGGGAATTCAGTAAAAGGGTTTTAATTGGAATAATGGTCAGGTTTGTATTTCTGAGCTCCCTTTGCAACAATATATAGGGTGGTTTGGAAGGAAGACACTTAAGGCAAGCACAGTTAAACATCTGATACTGCACAGGAGTGTGCTCTTAGGTGAATCATCCTGGACAAAGAACTCAGCTAGCACAGTCTACAGTGGAGCTTGGCACAGTCAGAAGTAAAAGCACCTTCCTGGAAGAAGGTGGTTCTTTATAGTCAAATCCAAATGTTTGCCAGGCACAGTGGAGCACACCTGTAATCCCAGCAACTTTGAGACTGAGGCAGAAGGATCACAAATTCTAAGCCTCCACAATTTAGCAAAACCCTGTCTCAAAAAATGAAAAGGGGTCTGGGATTATAGCTCAGTAGAAGAGCATTTGCCTCACATGTGTGAGGCACTGGTTTGATTCTCAGCACTGCATATAAATAAATAAGGTCCATTGACAACTAAAAAATATTTTTATGCAATAAATAAGTTGTAGCAGTACCACACCACCCTGGCCCCCCCAAAAATTCTAAAAAGCTTGTCCAAAAAGCTGAAATTTTATAATCAGTAGTTTGGGGACATTAGTAAAATTGTATACATGATTTCAAAGAAGTTTTCTGGGAAAAATAAAGTTATTCTATTTACTTGAGTATCACTTGTAAAAAGTAAAACATTGGAGAAAGTGCTTTTGAAATAATAAAGAGATGTACAAATATAAGGTATTTTTTCTTTATTGCTACTGCAATAAATAGGTTTATAGTTCTTGCTCAGCCTCATCAGTGGTTGGCAGGTGTAACAGTGAGGTACTCATCCCGAGGGACTCTTGCTACCTCAGTTAAGGACTAAAGCAAATACATAGGGGAAGGTGGGAGAAAAATCATATTACAATCTGATAATTTCTCATATACCAGGTTCTTTTGATTCATCTTGTTTCATTTTTGTAACTTTGTGAGGTAAGTTGTCCCCATTTTATACATGAGGTTACTTAGGCTCCAGTGGGTGAATAATGCCTGAGGTCACAGGGTGGATGACTGCCAAGAGGAGGGATGTGAACTTCGGTCATAGGCTAACACCTCTGCTCTTCTGTGTCATACTAGACTAACTTTGTCTACTCCCTCATGAACCACTGGCCACCACCCTGAGCTGGTAAGAGGATTAAATGGAGTTGTGAATAGCAACACATCCTAAAGGTGAGCCAAGGACTGGAGGTCACAAATTGATGCTCAGAGGGAGGTAGGGAAGCATCCCAGAGACACAAGTCGCCTTCACTTCAGCTGCAGGTCCAGGTGTTTCTGGAATCAGGGCTGACACACTGCTGTAAGTCCTCATTACAGTCTGCATTCTCTTGTGTAAAGTGATCTGTGGAGTGCAGGAAATTTAAAGAACCAAATGAGTCTAAATTCAACAAGGCACTGTGATATACCTATTAAAATAGGAAGAGCAAGGGGAAAAAGTTTTGTCACTGCTGCTGGAAAACTGGCAACACTTCAGCTGTGAAGAAGAACCAGATGGTCAGCTGGGATCACTCGTCTGGTTTTTCCTCTACATTTAGTGGAAACTGAGATGCAGAAAGGTCAAATATGTTCTCTAGGATATTACAAAAGAAAATGGCAGAGCCAAGAAAAGAGCCCAGATTTTTCAGTATCTGCCAAACCATACTTTGTCCATGAATGAAAATGAGGTTAAGGTATGTTGAAATACTGTAGTATAGAATAGCTGCTGTGGCCTTTATGACTATTTGGTTGGTCAAGAAGTTGGATTTTACTGGGTGTGGTGGCTCACACCTTTAATCCCTATGGCTCAAGAAAGTGAGGCAGGAGGCTCACGAGTTCAAAGCCAGCCTCGGCAAAAGCGAGGTGCTAAGCAACTCAGTGAAACCCATCTCTAAATAAAATACAAAACAGTGCTGGGTATGTGGCTCAGAGGCCAAGTGTCCCTGAGTTCAATCCCCAGTACCAAAAAAAAAAAAAAAAAAAAAAGAAGAAGAAGAAGTTGGATTTCTACCAGGTCTTCCAACTCCAATTCTCTTCTGAAATCTACGCCCTAAGGAGCACAGAAAATCCATCAATGTAGAGAAAAGAATGAGACTACAGGGCTGGGATTGTAGCTCAGTAGTAGAGCACTTGCCTAGCACATTTGAGGCACTGGGTTCAATCCTCAGCACCGCATAAAATAAATAAAAGTATTGTGTTCATCTACAACTAAAACTATTTTTCAAAGTAATGATAATTTATTAGATAGTTAATATACAAGTGATTTTAGTAGTACTCAAATGCCAGTTGTTATTTTTTATTACTATCATGATGCAGTGAAGAAACTGAAACACAAAGAAGTGAAGTGGCTTTCCCAAGGTCTCAGCTCAGTGGTAGAAGCAGGACATGAACCCAGAGCTCAGCTCTTCTGAGGCCCCCTGGCTATTGACCCAGTTCAATTTAATTCAAGAAGAAACTCTGGAAGGCAGCCAAGAAAATCTCAAGGAGAGAGAAAAGCAGCATTGAAGTTGACCGTTTGGATTTGAGGTGCAGAAACAAAAACAGCTGGGAAAGTACCTGGAAAGAATTCTCTACAGACTTTGTGGGTAGGGAGGGCATGTCTATTCTCTATCATTACAGAGTGGGAGAGAGTAGGTATAATGGAAAGAGCACTCGGCTCAAAGCTGAGGTCAGTCTTGCTTTTATCTTATTTTTTTTTATATTGAAATAGGGTCTCACAAGTTGCCAAGGCTAGCTTCAAACTTGGGATCCTCTTGCCTCAGCCTTCCAAATCACTGGGATTGCAGGTATGTGCCACTGTGCCTAGCTTTAATCACATACTTAAAGATGTTGACAAGGAGAACATTCATACAGGTATAAGCATTCACATACTTACCAATAAATGCACACAGGCACAGACACATTTGTGCCCATGAGTTATGCACTCACAGGCATATACTTTTTTCTTGTCTCCATAATAGTTCACTGCCATTACTCATCAATACTGAGTCAGAAGACTAGGAAGGTGAGCCCAGTCTTGAGCCTTCCCCAGGTGATTCCAATGGCCACCTGATGTGTGGTGACTCTGTCTGAGAGCCAACCTGCCCCTCTCTTGTTAGGTTGCACCACCACTCCCTCTTCCCCGGGAATATCCCTCCATGGACCCGGACCCTTTAGCATAGCCACCATTACCTTCCCTAGAGTCGGAGGCCTACAGGACCTGTCCCGTCATTTCCTGGTATTTTCTTGTCACTTCCTGAGCTTTCACAGTCAGGTGAGTAAGGATGCGATGGAGGCTGGAGAAGTGCACATGGAACTGGGTTTCCAGGTCCAGCTCCCCGGAGACTTCTTCCTTGGCCTCCTCTGTCTCGGCAGCTTCCTTTCCAGCCTCATCCGCTTTGCGGCCGGCCACCTTGGCCTGCCACTCCTCCCTCGGCAGGAGCCCATGTTCCACATCCATCCGGATGGTCTTGAGCATGGTGAAGTAGGTGTAGAGATCAGGGGCCCCCATCTGGGCCTGGCCGCCATGTCCACCCAGATGCACATCCCTCAGAAGGCTGGGGATCATTACCACCTGCTCCATGTTGCACACCACAGCCAAGTACCGGTCCACGACGGCCAACAGGCAGTTTTTAGGGTAGCGCTTGGTTAGTACCGGCATGGTTGCCTGCTTTTACACAATGAGTTGGGAAGACTGCCCCAGCACTATTTCTAGGCTTTGGTTCTGACCGCAGATTGACAGGAAGCCAAGGCCCAGTCATTGGGTCAACACAGCTCTGTTTTAAGCCAATCCCAGGGTTTGGGTCCCAAGGTCTGTATCAGGTGATCCACTGCCCAGGGACAGACCAGCCAGCCTTTTGCTTGTCATTTCAGTTCTATAAGACTGCCTCAGTAAGAGCCCAGCTCTTCTACTGGCAGCTTGCAGAACTAGTTAAAGCAAAGCTTTTCCCTTTGGCAACAGATGCACTTGACTGCAGGAAAGTCAATAATCCTTTCAGATCACCTGAGGTCAAACTGAGTCTTTGCTACCCTCTGAAAGCACAAAGCTTACTTCTTCAACTCAGAGTGACTGTGAAATGAACAAGGGAAGAGCGTCATGAAATGAAATAGTTTGGTGTGGGGCAAAGAGCACTGAAGTGGGAGCCAGAAGTCCAGAAAGAAGGGGTCTGGATGTTGGCCATGCTCATGTCCCCGACAATCTTCCTTATAGAGGGTGCTTTTCCACCATGAACTTGACTAGGAAAAAAACTCTTAATAAGATGCATTAGCCTGGTGTTACCTCAATCAGTCAGCAGGGTGAAGAATTTGCATAAACTTGTTTCCTAAACTGTGAGCAGAAAACAGCAATTTTTCTAAGTTAATTAATTTTAAAAATTAATTTTAAGGGCTAGGGATGTAGGTCAGTAGTATAGTATTTGCCTAACATGTGAGGGCCTAAGTTTGATTATCAGTCATACCCCCTTACCCCCTCCTCCCAAAAAGAGTTTGACTACCTAAAGCTGGGCATGGTGGCTCATGCTGATAATCCCAGCAATTTGGGAGGCTGAAGTAGGAGGATAGAAAGTCAAGGCCAGCCTGGGCAACTTGGTGAGATCTGGGCTGGGGCTGTAGCTCATTGGTAGAGTGCCCACCTCGCACGTGTGAGGCACTGGGTTTGATCCTCAGCACCACATAAAAATAAATAAAGATATTGTGTCCAACTACACCTAAAAAAAAAAAATTAAAAAAAAAAAGATCTAGGTAGAGCATCCCTGAGTTAAAACCCCAGTACCATAAAAACAAACGAACAACAACAAAAAAAGATCACTTAAGTAAGCCTTTGATGAATTCACTTCTAGTCTTCTAACATTGTTTTTTCCTTGACTGAGGAAAAATTTTTCAAATATTTTCTCCTCAAGAAAACAGGACTTCTGGGGATGGAGTTGTGGCTCAGTGGTAGAGTGCTTGCCTAGCATGCATGAGGCCCTGGGTTCTATTCTCAGCACCCACCACATACACATAAATAAAATAAAGGTCCATCAACAACTAAAAAAAATATTAAAAAAAAAAAAAAAGAAAATAGGACTTCTGGGCTGGGCAAGGTGGAACATGCCTACAATCCCAGTTATTTGGGAAGATAAAGCAGGAGGATCACAAATTCAAGGCCCATCATGGCAACTCAGTGAGATCCTGTCTCAAAATAAAAAAGGCTAGGGATGTAACTCAGTGGTAGAGAACCCCTGGGTTTAGTCCTTGGTATTAAGAGAAGGGAAAAAAAGAAAGGAAAAATAAAAATGGGGCTTCTCTTGTATACAAATCTCTAGGGCTGCTAAGCAGTGGGTATAGACATTTCATAAGGCTGGGCAGTGTCACTGGGTTCTGGTGCTACCCACAGGCCTCTTGGGATACAGCCAGACTCCCTGGACTCCAGCCTCCACACAGTCAACTGAAAGGTTTGGAAATCTCTGAAGGGGAGGACTTTGCTGCCCTGGTTTTGTAACTCCTTCTGAATTTAGATCCAGTCCCTAAGGGCATTACTCCCTGTGTTAGTTCTTACATTTTTTCACCCAGCCCCAGGGTTACAAACTAAGAACTGGCAAACATGGTGTTCTGCTCGTGGTCGGGGCATGCTGATGTTGGCATGAGGGCTTGCCAGGAGTGCCCTAGCAGCTGCCTCCTGATTCTTTTGCCCAATGACCTGGGTTACCCCTGGGCCTCCCTTGCCCCATGTATCAAACTGAGAGGGCTGAACTTTGTTAAGGCCTCTCCACTTCAGATTTTTAGACTCCTCCCAAGCACATGGCTAGTATATCTCACTGTGTTATTCTGCCTATGTGTGAATTTTAATCCCATCTGAGGCCATTCTATTTCCAGACATATTCCTGAGCTTGAACTAGAGAAATGAATGAGTAAATCAAGTGGAAAAGGGAGAGAGTGACTTAGCAATTAGGCAACTAAATGGCCTCTGTATGAATAAGTGTAGAACACAAAGAGGCCTGGGAAGGAATGAGGGAGGGTCTGGCTGACCAGGGTCCCCTGGCCAGCAGGCTACAGACTGAGACTGCCTCTAGGTCTCCCTGGAAGACAGAAGGCCTTAGTTAAAATGTTGCCAGTCATGTGTCAGAGTAGAAGACAGACATGGAGTGCTAAAGGGACGGGCTGGACTCAGGGAGGTTCTAGATGTGGGAAGAGGAAGAAAGCAGGAAATGTGTTTCAGGGGTTATAGTATTTTTCCTCCTCTCAAAGATGCCTCATCCGGTCCAGCAGGGCCATCACAGGTGGAAAATCCCAGCAAAGGTAGAGGAAGGAAGCAGCAAAAGCTGGACTAGACCTCAAGCTTCATTGGATTTCCCAAGTCTTTCCTCCCACCACTCCCGAAGGAAACTGAGGCTGAGTAAGATGCCTCTGGCCTGGCCTCTGCAGAGCTGCCTACAGCCTCGCCCTGAGTGCCCCAAGCTGGGCATACTAAACTGGCCCAGATAGACTGGAGTCAAAGTCCTCAAAGTCCAAGCCAGGAATAATGTATGAATGTGATGCAAGGATAAGATGATCAGGTGGTATCTGGGGTTGACAGACCCCAAGTAACCCAGGCTGGCCTTGAGGCCAGGTGGCTACAGAATGGACACAGACCAAGGTCGGGACAAGCTTTTCAGTTTGAAAATGTTGTATATAAGCACATCACCTGATGTCTATGGGCTCCAGGATTTTTTTTTTTTTAATGTGCTTGTGTGATGCTAAGGTTGGAGGGAACCAGGGGTCATAAGTTAGACAAGTCCTCTCCAAATCTCCAGTTCCCCAGGCTATTTGGGGGAGGGGATACTGAGAAGGAACCCAGTACCACTGAGTGATATCCCAATCCCTTTTTATTTATTCACTTATTTTTTGAGACAGAGTCTTGTTAATTTACCCAGGCTGGCCTTGAACATGCAATCCTCCTGCTTCAGCTGCCCAAGTTGCTAGGTTTACAGGCTTGTGCCACCACACCTGGCTCCTCAGGCTATTTTTCTTCACATTGTCACTCCAGTCCTGGCCAGGGAATATATGGAGTCAAGAAGTGAGAGGCTTTGTAGTCATAATATGCACCCCCCCACTCAGCTAATACAGTATGTTCCGACCTCCTGCTTTTCACACAGGGAAGCCCATGTATTGAGAGCCTACTATGTGCAGCACTCTGGGCCTGGGATTTAACAGGACATGAGGGCAGATGAGGTCCAGGCACTTGGGGCAGTTTATTTATTTATTTATTTACTTGGATTTTTAATATATATATGTAATTTAGTTTTCATGGACTTTATTTTTTTTAATTTATATATGGTGCTAAGAATTGAACCCAGTACCTCACACATGCTAGTGCTCTACCACTGTGCTAAGACCCCATCCCCAGTTTTTATCTATTTGGGAGAGAACCATCATGAGCATATGCACAGATAAATGTGATTAGCATTACATTGTGACATACCCTTTGGAGAAAACAAAACAAGGTAACAAGACTTGCTAGTCAAAGTGTGATCTACAGACCAGCAGCATCTAATCATCCCAGGGCTCACCAGAAATACATATTCTTAAGCTCAGCCCAGGGCCTACCACATCGCAGCCTGGGAATGCCTAACTCCAAACATGGTTCTTTATTTTTTTAAAAAATATTTATTTTTTAGTTGTAGTTGGACACAATACCTTTATTTCACTTATTTATTTTTATGTGGGGCTGAGGATTGAACTCGATCTCGCACGTGCGTGTGAGGCAAGCTCTCTACTGCTGAGCCACAACCCCAGCACCCCCAAACATGGTTCTTTTTTTCTTTTTTTAAAAATATTTTTTAGTATTGATGGACCTTTATTTTATTCATTTATTTATGAGGTGCTGAGAACCCAGTGCTTCACACAGGTGAGGCAAGCACTCTACCACTGAGCCACAACCCGAGCGCCCCCAAACATGGTTCTTAAATGGCCAGGAAAGAAGAAACAACTGTGCTGAGACCTTAACATTCTTGGCTTCAAGAAGATTTGTCCTGCAGACAGAAGGAATGGCAAGTGCTATCCATCACAAAGGATTCCTAAAGGGACAACTGACTTACTGCATGACCTTAAGTAAGACATTCAGCCTCAATCTCCTACCTGGAAAGCAGAGGAGTTGAACTACATAAAGAATCTTGCTAGGTGCATTGCACACTCCTTTTTGGGGGGGTAGGGGAGATACCAAGTGTGCAGAGCGGTGACAGTGAATGGGAGAGCAGTATCTGAAATGGGTTCCCTGATGACTTCATGGCTGTGGCATGCCTGGTACCTGGGAAATTTTCTGTAAAAAGGTGCAGGATGACTAGTTGCTATGGCAGTGTCCTCCATGAGAAGGCTCTGTGCTAGGGTCTTATCAGCCTCTGCCTTGATCTCAGGCACACAGCTCCTGGGAATAAAGAAACTCTCTTAGCAGACAACCACAATGTTTCACCAGCTCTGCTGCTCCTCAGCCTGCACATAACACTGTGCTAAGACCCCATTTAAACAATGGACTTTCTTGAAAGCTACACAAAGCTCCTAACATAGCACATTGTAACTGTAGAAGGCAACTGGGGAATAAGCTGCTTAATGTTGCTAACTTTGTAACTTTCAGGAATACAAAGAATAATGCTTGCATAGTCTTTAATCTGATTAATGAGATAAATATATAATAAAGATTGCTGGCGTCTTTAGACCTGCTTCTCCATTAGACAGCAGTGCTCCACCCCATCCCAGCTGTTATCTTCAATATCTGCATATGTGAGTCTTTCTTTTCCTAATTTTCCATCGACTTTTGCTGGAACCTGCTAGGTTGGCCATGCTGGTTGCAACGACCAGAATTGAAGTCAGGGGCACTCAACCACTGAGCCACATCCCCAGCCCTATTTTGTATTTTATTTAGAGACAGGGTCTCACTTAGCTGCTTAGTACTTGACTTTTGCTGAGGCTGGCTTTGAACTTGCAATCCTCCTGCCTCAGCCTCCCAAGCCACTGGGAGTACAGGCATGCACCAATGCGCCCAGTTTAGGCACACTCCTTTTATCCCAGAGACTTGGGAGGCTGAGTCAGAAGAATTACAAGTTCAAAGTCAGCCAGGGCAATTTAAGGAATAAAATAAAAATAAAAAGGGCTGGGGATATAGTTCAGTAGTGGAGTGTCCCTGGTTCAACCGCCAGTACCAAAATAAAAGAAGAATCCTTCACATTGAAAACACAACTCCTCTGAATAGAGGATTTGGAGGCACCAAGAGCCAATGACCCAGACATCATTATCCTAGGTACATGTATGAATGCACAAAGGGTGTGACCCTACTTCTTGTACAACCAGAGAAGTAAAAAATTGTGCTTCATTTGTGTACAATGAATTGAAGAGCATTCTGCTGTCATGCATAACTGATTAGAACAAAGAAAAAAAAAAAAGAACCAAATGACCAACTATGGAAGAGGCATTTTAGAGGGAGTAGAAGGGCCCCTTTCTCTAGAGACAGTTCACCCCATGAGGCCCATGTTTTTTTTCTGCTTACTTGGGAATATGGATCTCTGGCTGTTCAGAGAATCTACTACAAATTCTGCTGACCAGAGTGGACCCAGGAAGCTGGCAAATCTTCCCATCCAGCCCCACTCCCAACTTCCTCTCTGTCATACCCCTCCCCCAGTTCTGAGAAAAGACAGTTCTTCCTCCAGCTGATGCAATTAGCTCCCAGGGCCAGCTTCTAGGCTGGCTGAGTAGGAGAAAGGGGCTGTATGTTCTCAAAGTGCTCCCAAATCAATCACAAAAGTCAAAATAGTCATAGCTACAAGACTCTGTGGTGAGTCCAGCTCCTATAATTCACTGAAGAAGAAACTGAGAGCCTAAATCCACCTCTAGCCATGTTTTGTTTCCTCACCTGGGAGGATATCACTGCTGGATCTATCACTTACTCTAAGCCTATGAATTTTAAAATTCTGTGACTAGACAAGATTTGTCACTGACCAAACACATGTCTGCCTCTCCCCTACCTGGGAGCCCTTGGTAGTCAAGAACCAGGTCTTGGCTTTTCTTTCTGCCCAGCACTTCAGGAGCTCAGGACTATTTCCATGCTTGCTGATCCAAAGGATGAATGAAAGAAAATGTGGAAGTCTCTCTTCCTTCCATGTGTCTGGGTATGTCTTCATTCCTTCCTTCATTTTTTTCATTTGACACACCTTTGCTGAGCTCCTGGGAAGCACTGGTCACAGAGGGTCTCTGTGAGGAAGTTGTCAATGTCATCCCAGACCCCAAGGAGCTCAACTGCGTCCTTTCACCATGGACAGTCCCTGACAGAGACACTCCATAAGTCACCATCAGTCAGGAGAGCTCTTGGTCTGCCTACAAGACTGAGGACCCCGCCAGGCTTAGACCCCAGCCAGAGTTCACTCTGGACAAGTCCTGGGAAGAGGTTTTGCTGGGGACAAAGGAGATTCCAGTTAAGATCCATGAGTGTGTATACAAAGCTCAACCAATGGACACCATTCTTCCAAACTCTCTTAGGCTACCATCCCTCAAACCACTCTTAGCTGTCCTTTAGGGCCTTTTTTCCCCTTTCCAGCCAGGAATTTACAGAGATTCTCCATGAATTCTTCCCTTCCCAATCAACTTGCAATATAGGAAGAAACTGATTTGGCTGAAGCAAGATGAAGAAACTATAGCTGTATCCTTTGGCCATCTTGCATTAGTCCTTAGGTCTCTTCAATAGAACCAGAGAGCCAGGCACAGTGGCACATATCTATAATCCCAACTACTTGGGAGACAGGAGGATTACAAGTTTGAGGCCAGCCTGGACAATTTAGCAAGACTGTGTCTCAAAACAAAATAAAAAGGACTGAGGGTGTAGCTCAGTAGTAGAGTGCTTACCTAGTATGTGTAAGGCCCTGAGTTCAGTCCTCAGTACTGAAAAAAAGAAACACAAACAACAACAGCACACACACACACATACACACACACAGAGAGACTTAAAGTACAACAAAAAACCACCAGTCAGGAATAAAAGTCCAAAGCCTTATCCTTACCTCATTACCCCTTCTGGCCTTAGTCCCTGCTGGCAAATCAACTTGTCAAGGGGGAAGAGATGGCTCCAAAGAAGGGTCTGAGTTGTTCCCAGAGAGAAGGGGAAATTCAAGCCAGAACCAGCAGGGTTCTGGGAAAATGAGAAGGAAAGACTTTCAGCAGAGGCATAGGCAGAGATTTCCTTAGGAAAGTAGAGTCACATTTAGGGGAGAATATGGGCATTCTCAAGAGGGAGACACCTTTGAGGGTAAAGCAAGGAATACACATGCAAGGAAGAATGTGGGCCATCTAGAGAGTGAGAGAGGTGTTTTGGTGGTTTCCTGCTCTTCTTTTAAAGGAAACTTGGTAAGGGCCGGGTATGGGAAGGTATGAAGGAATTATATCACATTGGTGATCTCAAGGCAGTTTCTGGTTGTCTGGTCAATATCTGGATCCTTAGGCTGACACAGTCTTCATCATCTGATCAACAGATAGCATTAGAAAGTCCACTAAATTGTAAGTTACTTAAACTGTTGTATGTCTCTTTGCTTAATTTATCGGGGGGTTAATAACAATACTCATATAGATTAACAGATTCCCCAGGAATTTGGGGGTGACAGACCAGGAAAGTTATACAGCAATTTTGGGTAAAAATCTATTTCCTTGCCCTTCTACTACATCTCCTTTCTACTTCTTTCTCATTCCCTCTATCATACCTCAGACTAACCTGAACTCTGCTCTATGCTAAGCTCTGGGCTGGTCATGGGAGTTACTCCCAAGCATAGCCCAGGCCCCCCAAGAAGCTCAGATGTGGGAGACTGATGTGAGAGGACAGACAACTAAACCAATAAACCACACCGGACTGGGAAATGTTTTCCAGGCAGAAATACCAGCCTGAGCAAAAGCTAAAAAGCGCAAAATAACATGGGTATATACTGATAATTCTCCAGTATGACGCACTTTTCCCCATACTCCACAGAAACTTTCAAATCTTCCCTCCCGCTCTTCCTAACTCACCCCTAGAGGTCTACCCTCACCAGCCATGGCTGACCTTTCTGACCAGATCGCCTCCCTCCCACTGTAGAACAGGCTCTTATCCCAGTTGCAAGGGTTGGCCTCTGCAGACTCCCGGAAGGGCTGAACCTCTTCCAGCCCACGAGGCCTAGCACCTCCCCTACGGCTCCGGCCAGCAGAGGGCGCTGCCGGGCAGGAGCAGATCGACAGAGCCATCAGCGGGAAACGCGGGTTTCCAGCCTCAGAATCGTCTGCCTCCTTAGCGGGTGAAACCTGGGGACTGGTGGTGGTAGGAGGAAAATACTCTCATCTTTCCAAGATACCTCTCACCAAGTAGACGGCATCAGTGTTTCGAACTGGTTTATTAAAAGGGCTTGATTTAGGAAAAAGCACTGAGCTGACTCGCCCCCCACCCCCCGCGCGCCACTGTGCTTTTCGAACCGATTCTGTAGACTCCGCTTTGCTACGGGAACTTTTAGGTCCCATAGGTTTTCTGAAAGTCATCTCTCAGGTAATTCCAACTCTTGAATAATTCTGGTGCCGGCCAGTGTTCCAGCAGAATTCCCCCGGTACCGACCTGCGCCACCTCTTACTGCCTAGCTCCTGGGCTCCTCCTGCCCCTTCCTCGGGGTTTCGGGCTCTCCCACCCGGAGGGGAAAAGTCAGGGCCGAAGTCCAAGGACCTCAGAGCCCTTTCTGTGGGACAGATTCCCAGTGCTGGCCTGTTCCTTCCGGAGCGTTCTGATAGGCTTTGGCGGTACCCAGAGGCTCTTTTACCCCCGGGCTGGGGGAGGGGCTGGGGGCGACCTGAGCGACAACAGCTCACTGCCCAGAAATATTGGAAGTCAAATTGGTAGAAAAAGAGGTTTTAATCAATGCCAGAAAATAGAATAAACGTTTCAAAGCTTCCATCTTTGAAATCCCTGGAAATAAACAGAACTTTTGAAGAAGGCCTGGAAGTATAGCTGAGTGTTAGAGCCTTGCCTAAAGTGCTTGAGGCCCTGTGTTCAATCCCCAAAATGAAAAGGAAAAAAAGATATGTAGAGCCAGACGCAGGGTCCCAGCTACTCCGAAGGCTGAAGCAGGAGGATCGCTGGAGCCCAGGAGTTCAAGACCAGCCAGAGCAACATGGCAAGACAAACAAAAGGGCCAGGCCCAGTGGTGCATGCCTATAATCCCAGCTTCTGGGGAACCCGAGGCAAAGGACCACAATTCAAGGCCAGCCTAAGCAATTTAGCCATATCCTATCTCAAAAAGGGACTAAGAATGTGGCTCCGTTGCTAAGTACCTCTAGGTTCAATCTCTGGTACCAAAAGAAAAAAAAAAGAAAAGGTACAGAAGAGTTCATAATTTGAAGGAAATCCTCATGAAATTAGATGGGGAGAATAATAAGTACATACATATTTAAATGAATCTTGTAAAAATAGTATGATTCAAATTTCATGAGTGGATAAGTATATAACGAGTGGCACCAACCTATGCCCTTGTTGAAGGTCATATCAAAGTTTGATTCAATTTCACCCTGTGGTAAGAGACAATTGCTTTTGGCCATTTAAAGTTCAGACTCTGGGCTGGGGACATGGCTCAAGTAATAGCACACTCGCCTGGCATGTGTGAGGTACCACATAAAAATAAAATAAAGATATTTTTTAAAATAAATAAATAAATAAAGTTCAGACTCTGGCCTCTCCTTACCCTACTCTTTTGGGGAAATTTCTGTTAAAGTCTTTTGGCAAGGGTCTATTCCTGATCCCTAATCCCACTACAGAAGCCCAGGTGATTGGATGGTTCTTCTTCAGGTCCTGGTATGGCCAAGAGCCTGTCTGTAACCACAGCAGCAGTAGCTATCCAGTTCCACAGAGTGATCCTGGTCAGGCTCCTGCAGCTGGGCCCCCCTGAGCCTCTGTCCCTCATCCTCTGTGAATATGAATACGTTTCTAAGAATTTCTTTTTGTTTAAGGAGCTGGCATTGGCCTTAGTTACCCCAGGAGCCCAGTTTAGCATTCCTGCTGTATTTGGCCAATGGGAGGGGCTGCTGCTAATTCCCCATCCCTGTGAAGGATTCCTCCTCTCCTAGGGTTGTGAGAAAAGGTTATGGAGTAATCAGCTGCAGCCTGCAGTTAGGCTGGGAGACAAGAAATGAGGGGCTGAAAGAAATATAGTTTATTGCTCTTCAGGAACCAGGAGGACTAGTTGACAGAAATCCAGACAAGGGAGGTGCTCTTCTGAATGACAGTGGCCAGTTGGGAAACAATAACTAATCTCCACCTGGTGTTAGGCACCTGAAAATTGGCCCTGCAGGCTAGATGCTGTCATCATGTCCTAAAAAAGAGGGTGGGTGGGGGGAAGAGAATATCTAAGAAGCTCTAACTCAGACTGGGCCAAAGAGAGGCCTTAGGGGCATCAAGAGATGGCTCTGAGAGGCAGGGAGGAAGAGAGTGCTTGAGGACTCTGGGAGTCCAGGATTTGGGACACTGCCCAAGTTGGTTATTTTGCTGTCCTGTGTTTGCTAGACATGATTCAATCAGAAACTCTTAGATGAGAAAGGCCTGTGGGTCTGTAGAAAGATGGGTCCCGGGCTGGGGATGTGGCTCAAGCGGTAGCACGCTCGCCTAGCGTGCATGCGGCCCAGGTTCGATCCTCAGCACCACATACAAACGAACATGTTGTGTCCGCCGAGAACTAAGAAAAAATAAATAAGTGTTAAAATTCTCTCTCTGTCCCCCCCTCTCTCTCTCACTCTCTCTTAAAAAAAAAAAAGAAAAAGAAAAAAAAAAGATGGGTCCCACTGGTCTGGTGGGCAACCCTGAGGCAGGAGTGGGTGACAACAATTTTTTTTAACCAGTCTTTTTTTGAAGTATAACTTATATGTAGAAAAATGTACCCAAGTAATTTTTATGAAGCACACCTGTGTAACCAGCCCCCAGCTCAAGAAAAAGAACATTGATTTGGGGATGGAGCTCAGTGATGGAGAGCTTACCTAACATGTGCCTAGGCCCTGGATTTTATCCCCAGTGCCATAAAACAAAACAAAACAAACAAACAACAAAACACTGCTCAGCATCCCAGAAGCTTCCATTTGAAAGGCAATGATTTTAGAAAGGGCAGTGGACAGGGTCTCAGAGCCAAGGGGGAAGGGAAAAAAAGATCCTGCCAGATATCAGCCTGGGCTGATGTATAGTATAGGCCTGGAAGATCAGCAGGAAGACCCCCACACACACCCAGCTCTCTGCCATTTTTTTTTCCTAACTTTACTTTGAAACAGAGTTTCACTAGATTGTTCAGGCTGGCCTACGGTTTGTGATATCCCCCTGCTTCAATCTCCAGGGTAGTTGGGGTTACGGGCATGCCCCATGGTGCCCAGTTGACCCTCCTTATTACCAGAAGTTAGTGAACTGGCTAGCATGCACCATGTACAGTGCCAAGTGTTCAAGGTCCGCCCCAGAGAGCTTGTAGAGCAGGTTTTTAGCCATAGGAAGCCCTGGAGAGAGGTAGGAAACACTGTGTTCTTAGGTCTCAGACCAGGTGGAGCTGGGCCTAGCACCTGAGGGCAAACAGGGAACAGCATGGCTTCCTGGAGGGGCTGGGAGCATAGGTGCCAGGAGGATCTGGGAGTGGCTGGTCACAGGGGAGATACTGCAGCAGACACTATTTGCTACCTAAGTTTCTGTTTGTCCAGGAATGATTCACCTGAGTGCCACTGATTAGTGCCTCCTCCTCTTACCCTATGAGTGAGGGACAGAGGGATGAGCATAGCTGTGGGGATACAGGACTAGCATTTGAACTCTGGCTCAGGGCTTAGTAACTCTGGGAAAGTTACATTCCCTCTCCTTATCTCAGTTTCCTTATCACTAAAATGGGACAACAATGTACCACATAGAATCATTGCAAAAAGGAAGAAATAAGATAAGCCTTCTAAAATGTCTGATGTTGGGCAGACATTTAATAAGACATTTGTTCCTTTCCTTTGCCATTTTTTTTCACTTAGCAAATATTTATTCGAGGCCTGATATGTAGTACGCAACTATATTAAGCAAGGAGAAGCAAGCACTAAACAAAACAGATATGGAGCCCAGCTGCAGTAATGGACCTTGGGACAGACATTAAATAAAAACATGTGTCATAGCCGGGCGCCAGGGCTCACACCTGTAATCCCAGTGACTCAGGAGGCTGAGACAGGAGGATCACAAATTCAAAGCCAGCCTCAGCAACTTAGTGAGGCCCTAAGCAATTTAGTGAGACCCTGTCTCAAAATGAAAACATAAAAAAGGGCTGGGGATGTGGCTCAATGGTAAAGTGTTCCTGGGTTAAATCTCAGTACCAAAAAACAAGGAATGAAAAACAAAACAAAACAACAACAACAACAAGTGTCATGAAGGAAAAGACTATTGTCTTATGAAAAGAAACTTCAGTGATGACATCCGTCAAATCGAGTGGTCAGGGTGATACTGGTATTGGTATCAGGAATGGGTCCTTGTTTCCCTGATATTGAAGATTAAAGACCTGAAAAATGCCAAGACCACTGTGGAAAGTCAGTTTTATTTAAGAAAGGGACAGTGACAAACTTCTCCAAAGAGAAGGGACCCCAGAATTAAGTGTCTGCGGGAGGGGGTGTGTCTTATTTTTTTATAGGCCCCAGCACTCCCCTTTTAGTTACTGCCTTCTCTCCAGGTCTGTGCCCAAGAGCAGGGATGTGGAGGCTGTTCGCAAGGCAGAGTTCCCAGGAGCATGAGCCTTTGTGGAGGTTAACAACCCATTTTTCTCTCTTTGATAACCAGTGATGAGCAGTCATCATTCTCTCTCAACTCCCATCATTCATCACCTACACTGACTACCTGACCTTTGCCCCTGCCTAGGCCAGGTGGGGCTCCAGGCAGAAGGCTTTTTGGCAAAGACAGCATGTGTGTGTTAGGGTGGGTTAGCAGAGTGGGCTCATTTTTAAGAAAGATAGTTTTAGTTGTCAATTGAACTTTATTGTATTTATTTATTTTTAATATTTAGTTGTAGATGGACACAATACCTTTATTTTATTTATTTATGTGATGCTGAAGATCAAAACCAGTGCCCCATGCATGTGACACAAGTGCTCTACAACTGAGCCACAACCCCAGCTCAGTGGGCTCATTTTATAGAGCTA